TTTGATATAAAAATCTGGTTTCATTAAATGCAGTCCAAATTAGATCTGTGAACAGTATGAATTTTTGTTAGATTTGTTGAAGGCTAGTCTTTAAAACAAGCAGCTTTAGCCTGCCTTAGCTTCATCGTTAGCCTGGTTAGCTCAGCATCAGCACCACCAATTAGCCGACTAGCAGCTGGCTAAGGTCAGTAGTTAGCTGCTAACTTAAGCTAACGCTGTGTCTATCATAGTCTGCTTATCTGTCCGGTGTGTCTTTAAAGATTGTTGATATCGGTTACCATATCCTCCTTAGGCTATTTAGCGTTAAATATGGACTAACTAAGTCGCATTAATGCAGCCAATCTGAAATTACCTTCAGCTTTTATTGATGATCCAGGTCTTACCTTACTGAGAAGCCACTACCTCCGTTGCTGCTGTCGCTGTGCCACTGATGATGATGATTGTCGGATTCCCCGCTGATTCAAGTTCATAAAAATGCAGGCAGAGCTTCACATTTTGGACATCCACTTCACGTTGAACGCTTCAGTCGTGTCATTTTAGCAGCTGTTTGCTAGCTAATGCTGTTAGTGCTCACAACGCAACAGAGGAGCTTTAGTACCGTAGTGCTGGGCTGCAGTGAGATGAATGAATGAGTGAACAGCTTCCAGTCGCTTCTCTGTTTTCCATAAGGAGGAACCACCCAAACCTTCTGGGATTTAAACAATCAACCAATCATTCAGCATCCAGCTTTACATACGTCAGTGCTGCATCGTCCAAGTATGAAACAGTATGTAAACATTTAAGACTAACTCTTTAAATGTTTAATTCTGATCATATTCTGTGTCGTCATGCTATGGTTCAGGTCCATTTTGACCTGACCATGAATTCCCTCATAATAAATCTCTAAAACTCATTTTCAAATACAGATCTAATTATAGTGTATAAATAGTAATCGGTTCAATTCAATTTATATTGCGCCTGTTTCACAACAGCAGTCACACTGAGGCGCTTCTTATTGGGCTTTATAATACAGAGAAACCCCCCAAAATTTAACAACCCTCTTAACATGAAGTAACTACCTATGTGCATATTAGTATTGTACAGCACTTTGGTCTACCAGGTGTGTTTTTAAAGTGAAACATAAAGTGCTATATAAATAAATAAATGATAAATGATGATGATGATAATCTCAAGCAGAGCCAGGCTCAGGGGAGGGCAGCCGGAAGTGGTTGTGGGTGAACGGGAGCAGGACAGGATAAAAGACAAACCATGGAAGAGAGCCAGAGATAATGCATTCATGCAGAGTGGTGTATAAACACATGAGTGAGTAAAAGAGGTAAGTGAAAAAGAAACACTCAGTACATCATGACCCGGAGCCTAGGCCTATTGCAGGTAAGATTCAGTGTCACTTGATCCAGCTTTAACTATATGCTTTATCAAAATGGAAAGTTTTGAGCCTAATCTTAAAGGTGGAGAGGGTGTCATAAAGATCCTCATAACTAGCATTTATAATTATCAATAAATATTAAATAAATGCATATCGGCTCTGTCTTGTTTCTTTTGAGCTTGGTTTCTATCTCTGTTAGTTTAATCATATCTTTTAAAAAAATATATTATATTTTGCTATTGTTAGATTCTTTTCTTACAGTGTGATTATTTGTGCTTGCAGGTGCAAAGCGCACAGGCACAAATACCCAGTTAGGCACATAATGCATTCACATATATCTACGCCTTGAGTGGTCTTACTGACACTTAAAACACTTATCTACCTCTCATGCAATTAACCTACAATGTATGCCTCTGGACTGTGGAAGAAGGCCCACTCCAGACACTGTGGAGGTGGTGTGAAAGGCCTCAGCTAGGATTTGAACCAGGAAACCTGCTGTGACCACTCTATCACCATGCTGGGCTTGACTCTTAACTGCATAATTAAAGCTTAGATGCATTTAGGATCCCTAACTGATGATAATAACAACAACAACGTTAAAAAAAAAAAAAAATAATTAAAAAAAAACGGTGGTGGAAAGGGGGTTTTTTTTATTCTTAAAGCTTTCACAGATATGCATTTTAAACAAATGTCAACAAGCTTATTCTGCAAATGCAAGGAAGCTTATTCTTTTGATGTCACAAAGACATACCAACATTAGCTTTTTATTTAAGACAACAAGAAAAAAAGAAAACAGTATAAAACAAAATGAACATGCCAAGACAAACTGGTTAAATATATTTACATATATAAAGTCAGAAACACAACATTATGGTTTCTTTTTTCTTCATTACCTTCAGCGCATTGATACGCAGTTATACAGAACTGGTATTGCTGTACTAATTACTCATAAAATAAGGTTTAACCTTAGGCCCAGTCAATATTATAAATTTGCTGAACCAAATAAGTGAACATGATGGTTGAAAAAGAAGGAAATTCATATTTTGAAATGCCCATCTCAAGGTAA